GGGGCGATCGTGGCTTTTGTCATTCACTGCATTTCAAAAACACCGAGGCTGATGGAGACACGACCGCAACGATAAAGATCCAGAATGACTTGTAGACTCAGTCTAACGCCGCGAAATCTATCCGGTTCACGGTCAATGTGCGCTTCGCCTTCTTGTAAATACTATATCGATAATCACGAGGGCAAGTTTTGGGCGTCGCCAATATCTCTATCGTTGTTGCCTGCCCTCACGGCCCGTATCAACACCGTCGATATATAGCATTGATCGACGGCCGCCACGAGGGACCCCGTGAGAGATGAACCAGGCCGCCAAAAACATGTCAAGGCGAAGGCCGAGAAAGCGGTCGAAGCGCAATACGAAAAGAAGTTCGGAAAACTAGGTAGCTATCTTAGCTTCAGGAGGTAATCGTGCTCTGCTTATAGCACTACTGGTTATCGGCCCATCGATATACCATCATTACCACCTGCTGTGCAGATGGCCGTCCCCTGATATGGAACCAAGAATCGATCTCTCGTAGTCTTCCATCGGCCCTCATTCCGTTATACTCCCAGTACGACTCGTTTTCAACATTCCAGACCACCGTAAAGTGGATAGAGCCTGCGGTACCCGACATCATGACGCATGCCACGACCGCGTACTCGACACTCACCTCGCCGGTTGGCTTGAGATACGTAAACGTGATGTTGCGAAACAGTTCGACCGCTCGCGCCGACGGCTCATCCGTGGGTGGAATATGAATCACCAGTGTCGGTGGCAGTCTATCGAGGACGGTAGGTCGTACCTTACGAGATCGCGTGCACCCTGGTCCGCTAGAGCAATCATGTCCGGCCGGAATGTGACTCCCTTGAAAGAGCGCCCGTACCGCATCGATCAAGGGAAATCGAGTGAGGTACAGACTGTTCTCTCGCTGAGGGGTTGTGCCCGCTTTGACCGTGATCTGTCCGTCACAACAAGTGACGGTCCGAATTTTGGTAAAGCTTACTTGAGCCAGTCCGGTGAAGCACTGATCAAAGACCTCGGCGAGAGGTAGCAGTGCCGGTGCGGCCGGAAACATCTTTGGGTCGGAGGTATAGAGTGACCGTCGCAATACATCACTCATACGTCGACGTTGCTCGGAACTGAGAGTTCCCCAGAGGCGACTATTAATCCTTCGCACGACTTGTGCCGGGTCGGGAAGCCGGGCGAAGAGTGTACTCGACACTTGGTCGACCTGGATCCGACCGGCTTCCAGGATGATGGCCATGTAAAGTGTGCAGTCGACCGCACAGGAATTTTCGGCCCAGGGAGAGCCGTATATGAACCGCCTTTTCGTATCGTCCTTGGACCGCGGCAAAGTACCGTCCACCCTGTCCCATCCTTCTTTCACTCGCCGGAGAACCAAACACCACTGG